TCTATCTATCTATCCATCTATATCTATCTATCCATCTATCTATCTATCTATCTATCTATCCATCTATATCTATCTATCCATCTATCTATCTATCTATCTATCTATCTATCTATCTATCTATCTATATACTTCCATGTATCTATCCATGCATGCATGTATGCATGTTTGCTTGAATGCCTGCTTGCATGCATGTTGCGTTTGTGTGTGTGTGTGTACATGTGAATTCGTGTGCATGTGTCTGTATGAGTATATGTGCGCATTTTGCTGTATATCTGTCTGTCTGTCTGTCTGTGTCGGTGTCTGTGTCTGTGTCTGTGTACGTGTCCGTGTCTGTGTCTGTCTCTGTCTGTCTCTGTCTGTCTGTCTGTCGGTCGGTTGGTGGGTCGGTCGGTTGGTGGGCCGATCGGTCGGTAGGTAGGTATGTATACGTGAATGAAAAGACACCTTCAGGCCATGTTCCATGGCAAAGCTGTAGACTCAGCATCGAACTACAAGCCAAACGCAAACCTAGCCTAGCTATTGAACATCAGAAGTCTGAAACCTTTGCCTAACTGCAGACCCTGTGCAACAGAATATTCTATCAAGCCGAAGGCTCTGTGTAACAGAAGACCTGTGTGAAAGAAGGTCCTGTCAAACCGTAAAACCTGTCTAAGGCGAACAAAAAACTCTGCGGGACTAACCTACACATCTGTAGATAGATATACGCCTTCATCTCCTTCTCCGTCTCCTCTTGTCTCTGTCTCTCTCGTTATCTCTGTCTCTCTCTCTCTCCTTCTCTGCCTCTTATCGTGGACTGCATGCAAGTCGGTTGATGTACGTACTCATAACTGTAGCGTTTAGATAGGTACACGTACCCGGCCCCAAGTTCGGGCATTTAAATATACACTTACATGACTTACATGTCCGGCTGTTTTCCTCCGGAAAAGCGCACGTGACTCAGCCGTAATCGACGAAAGCAAAGAGGCCTTAATCATTAGAATAAGATTTTGGGGTCCACTATATTTAGTTTATACTATACATAACGGAACACTAAGGGAATACTACTGCTTAGAAGTCCGGCACCCATATTCAATCCACATGAATCCCTTCCCTCTCGAACGCAAAGTATCCTTGAAGCGCTGCAACCGCAGCGCAATGACGCCAAATACACCCAGAACTCTAAAACCTCAAACCCCAAAGCCCTTACCCCAAGACCCCTTATGAGCCATGAACCCCGAAAGACTATTATAATATAGGGGCCTAGATCATTAGAATAGGGCTTTCGAGGTATACTATACTATACTTTTAATAGGGAACCCCTCAAAATAGCATAGGAAATGATTAGGCCCCTATAGTAAACTCAGACCCTATCATTCCCAAGACGCTTAGACCCGGAACTCCGCCCAACAACACCTCCAAAGTCGACGCCTACCTCCCAAATAGCCCGAAACGCCGAACATCGTGTTTAATGGTACGATCTCGAGTGACGTCTAACTTGTTCTCAATAGCCAATACCAATAGTAGATGCCTTAATGCATAGTACCACAATGATAATACTACGTGCGGCCCCCGTTCTCACACTGCCTGTGCAGCAGGTACCGAATCGAAGAGCGCAAAGAGCGTGACGCCTCTCCCGAAGGAAGCCTTGCTACTTGGAGGTTCCATAAGGGGTTCCTTTAAGGGTTCCTTTAAAGGGTTCTACAGGGTTCGGGTTCATGGGTACTTATAAGTATGGTTCTAAGTCCCCTAATTTGGGATATATTTATAGTTACCCTACTTATAACTCCATTTATAACTACCCATGGACCTCCAAGTAGAGCTTGCAATTGCTTGAAGGTTCAGGGGCATGAGCTTGACAAAACAACAGCTTCGCAAAAAGCAGCAAGAACATCAACCGAACAACACACACTGTGATGGCCCCTAAACCCTAAACCCTCAATTTGTGCCTAAACCTCAAGCCCTGAAGCCTAACCTCCTCATATGGGCGGTGTTCTAAATTGGGCCCTCTCAGGGTCTATTATAAGGGTGCCGTACTCATAGGGGACCCTCAAAAAGGGACCCAAAGTTAGAGAACTAAGTACCCACACCATGCCGCCTTGCATCGAAGGAAACCAGGCAGGAAGCGGCACAGGTTGTCGAGCTCCCTGCACCAGGCTAGTTTTTGGGGGTTCTTTGTATAAGGGTGGCGTACTATATTGGGGACCTAAACGGGGACCCTAATTTGGGGAACTACCCACCAAGGATGCTTCGGAACTGCAGGAGCTGGGTGCCGCGAGCATAAGCAAACACGTCGTCCAGTTCTGTTGCTCTTACTAAAGGGCTCCTTGGGGAAATGTATAGGGGCCTTCATAATTAGAATAGAGTTTTGGGGTACATTATACTATAGTTGTAACGGAACCCTCCCTATATACTTCCCAGGCGATCATAAAAAGGAGGAATCTTCGCAGCTCTCGACGTGGCTTTTGTTGTCTTTGTGCTTTTGGGGCCCCTAAACCCTAAACCCTAAACCCTAAGCCCTAAACCCTAAGCCCTAAACCCTAAGCCCTAAGCCCTAAATCCTAAACCTAAACCGCAACCAGGGGGGCCGACGCCAGGTCGCGCCCACAGAGCTTGCAGTTTCCGCGCACAGGATACTAAATAGCCCACTTTAAACCCTAAACCCTATACCCCATACCCTAAACCCTAAACCCTAAACCTTAAACCCTAAACCCTAAATCCTATACCCTAAACCTTGAACCCTAAACCCTAAACCCTACACCCTATACCCTGAACCTTATGAACCCTAAACCCTGAACCAAAAAGCTATGTTTGACACTGGAATCCCGGAACCCACATCCTGGCGACCTCTCCAAACCCTAATCCCGCAACCCTCATCCCTCAAATCAAATAAAACCGTGGGTTTAGGGTTTAGGGTTTTTGCGTTGAGGGTTCCCCGCTGAGGGTTTAGGGCTTAGGGCTTGGGGCTTTTGGTTGAGGGGTTATAGGGATTAGGGTTTAGGGCCTAGGATTTGGGGCTTAGGGTTCAGGGCTTTTGGTTCAGGGTCTACCTTAAGAACCCAAACCCTACTTTTTTGCAGGGTCCCTATAAATCCCATATTTGGGTTTATAATAAGAACCTACAAAAAAAGTGGTTTGGGGTTCTTAAGGTAGGGCTCAGGTTTAGGGCGGGCGAAGGCTCAAAGTACCTGCATTTGCGTGGCAAGAAAGTCTGTAAGTAACCGGCTCTATAGAGGTTTAGGGTTTAGGGTTTAGGGTTGTTTAGGGTTTAGGGTTTGCGTACTTACTTACGCACTTACTTGCTTGGCTGATGAGTAGAAACACAAGATCCCGCCGTGCTTGCCACTACTCATGAGCCTTCAGCTCTTTAGCTACTTCCCTATTGCGGCCGTTCAAGTTGCATGGGTTTTGGGTTTCGCGCTCAGGGTTCAAGTACTCGTCCTATCCGGCCTAAACCCCAAAAAGTAACCCTACACCCTGAACCCTAAATACAGCCCCGCAATCCCGGCCTGTGCGTAGCATCTGCGGGGAAGTTTGCGCAGAAGATCGTGGTCACCTCCGAATGCATTAGTCAGGCACATCTACTGCCGTTTCTGCTACCAGCTCCTACAGCAGCAGCACGAGAATGAGAAGAACTAGCAGCAGCAGTAGCCGTGGCAGTCGTACAGCAGTTGCAGTGGCAGTGACACCGGCAGCAGTAGCTGTAGTGGTAATAATAGTGGTAGTGGTAGAGGTAGTGGTAGTGGTAATGGTGGTGGTAGTAGTAGTCATCGTCGTAGTAGTAGTCGTAGTAGTAGTAGTAGTAGTAGTAGTAGTAGTAGTAGTGGTAGTAGTGGTAGTACAATTGTAGTAGTAGTAGTAGTAGTAGTAGTAGTAGTAGTAGTGGTAGTAGTGGTAGTATAATTGTAGTAGTAGTAGTAGTAGTAGTAGTAGTACTACTACTACTACTACTACGACTTCTAGTTACGTCTTCTCCTACGCCTACCACTACATGCTGCTACAGCTACTGCTAGTCGCGTGGCCGTCGCTGTCGCTTTTTGCTGCAGTTGAATGCAGCCTTCGGCATGTGTGTGTTGGTGTTGAAGCCGTTCAGCTCAATTGTTCGTCGTCGTCCTCTGCCGCCGGGGGCGGTCATGGTGCTGGTGTCGAGGGGGGTCTTGTTGGTCCGGTATGGGCCATGATGCTGCCGG